CACAGGCATGCACGCGGGGTGGCAAGGGTGCGCGCGCGAAGCCGACCAAGAACCGACCTAGAACCGATCTAGAACCGACCAAGATTGGGCCCAACCTAGAACCGACCCAAACCAACTCAGAATCGGCCTAGAACCGACAGGAAGACAGAGAACTGCTCTAAGAACTGACCTAGAACTGACCCGAACTGAACTGACCAAGAACCGACCACCCTAAAACTGAAATTGACCCAGAACCGACCTAGAACAGACCACAACAGAACCAAAACTGACTAAGATACGAACAAACCACACACTAATGTATGCAATTCTTGTTTTCTTATATTAAGTTTTTGTTCTTGCAAAAATGTAGAAAAAAAATAAATCCTTAATTTTACCTGAGCAGATTATGTTGCCTCGTTGACGGGGGTTCGGGAAATGGCCGTCTTAGTTGAGGAAGAAGAGTTGTTTTGTGATGCCATTTCAGTCGTGGAAGTCGCCAATTTTTGGTCGGTTTTTAGTGAGGGAGATGGTCGGTTTTTGTTGAAGAGGGGTCGATTTTTGGGTGGTCTGTCCTCGGCGAGAGAGAGTCGGTTTAGTCGGGGAGAGTGAGGAGTGTGGTCGGTCCTCGGTGAGGAAGGCTCGGTTTTGTCGGGGAGAGTGAGGAGTGTGGTCGGTTCTCGGCAAGAAAGGGTCGGTTTCGTCGGGGAGAGTGAGGAGTGTGGTCGGTCCTCGGCGAGGAAGGGTCGGTTTTGTCGGGGAGAGTGAGAAGTGTGGTCGGTTCTCGGCGAGAGAGGGTCGGTTTTGTCGGGGAGAGATGGTCGGTTTTGTCGGGCGATGAGAGAAACTCGGCGAGAGAGAAACCAGTGAGAGGTTGTGAGGGAGTCGGTCGTGTGGTCGGTTTGTGAGAGAGAAAGGGTCAGTTTTTTAGGGTTGGTGAGTAGAGTTTTTTGAAATGACCCGTACACATAAACTAGATATGACCTATTTTTTGACACGTAAGATACACGTCATAATTTTTTTGTTATAAAAAAAAAGTGGTCTAATCCCCAATTTCTGTTTTACTAGTCTCTTTTATTAAATTTTCTCTGCGAAATAAAAGAAGCTAGATAACCGACCTATCACCGTCCGCCACGTTCGTCTGGTGACACACCGCAAGGGACGTGCTAACATTCGCCTTTCCTTTTCAACACAAACAAACAGGAACAGCCTTGTTACTCTTCCCACTCCAGTGAGTGAGCTGGTAGTAACGACATGGAAGCGACGTCGTCGCCGCCACCGGCGAATCTGAACGAGCCACTGAACGACGATAAGAAGAAGAAAACGAAAACGATGACGGAGAAGAAGAAGAAGAAGAAGGAAGCTTTGGGATGGATGGAGTGGCTGAGGGGGTGGTTCTACGTGGTGTACGAGATGCTTTTTCAGAGGATAATGGCGAGCCATTTGCAAAACCCTATGCCTCTCCCTCCGATCAACGATCTCACCTGCATTGTCACCGGATCCACCAGCGGAATCGGCCGCGAAATCGCCAGGTCTTTTTGTTTTTTGTTTTTTGTTTTTTTTCGCCGATTCGTTGATTGATTGATTATTCTTTTGATTTGGTGCTCAAATCTTGGATTTGAAAGGAAATGAATTGGTTTTGATTGGGATAGGCAATTGGCCGAATCTGGAGCGCATGTGGTTATGGCGGTGAGGAATACGAAGGCGGCTCACGAGTTGATCCAGAAATGGCAGAGCGAGTGGTCTGGAATGGGCCTCCCTCTCAATATTGAGGTTTCTTTACTACGAATTCATTTCTGCCAAAAAAAAAAAAAAAAAAAACTTCGTTCGAATTTAGGATTATTTTTTCAGATTTTCAGATATCAACATTTATCAAGAATTAATGTGAAGTGAAGTTGAATTATGGATATTTTTGCAAGATTTTACAATGTCTTTTTGTTTTTTATTTTTTTTATTTATTTTTTTAAATGAACAAACCTTAAAATATAAAGTATATCAAGCGAGGTCAAATTTACCAGGTTGTGAACTTTTGTTTATCTTTTAACAAAAGTAATGAATGGATTTTAGTAAGTAATAGCTTAGTTAGTTCAGTGTATTTTTGCTCATTCCTGAAGTTTTTGATGTTTTCCTAGGTGATGGAACTTGATCTTCTGTCCTTGGATTCTGTTGTGAGATTTGCTGAGGGGTGGAATTCGCGTTTGGGGCCTTTGCATGTTCTTATCAACAATGCTGGAATCTTTTCAATTGGAGGTTGGTGGTTTCTGTGAAGTTCTGTTCATTACCATCTTATTATTTGCAACAATGTAATGCCATTTTAGTCGCTGACATTTCATTTCGAATTAAGTATGTCTGAACCTCATATTTACATTTTTCCTTTTTCCAATAATTATCATCACACGGTGAGTATTATGCATTATCCTTGAATAAGTTGATGAGATTCTATAATAGTTCCTAGCTAATCTTCTAAGAGGCGTGAGATTTCAAGTTGCATCTCTGTTTAACAACCGAAATCTAATATGTTTGGCTGAATCCTAGTTGCCCGCCTTCAAGATGTTTTAGTGGTTCTATTTCGTGTTTGTTTTTATATAAGTTTGTTTTTTTGTACCCTACATTTTTCTGGCATGTCATGGCCCTGAATTTTCCTAGCTTTTTGTCTTGTGCTTCTACTTGGAGTTCCATTTCGTTGTTCGATGGAGTATGTTTAAGTTTTATAGCTGTGTATTATGATATGCTGGTGTTGATTACCTGATAGTGATATACTTTGATTTTCGTGAATTTAGAGCCCCAAAAATTTTCGAAAGATGGGTATGAGGAACACATGCAAGTGAATCATCTGGGTCCAGCGTTGCTTTCAATATTGCTTTTGCCATCTCTTATCAGAGGTTCTCCAAGTCGAATTGTCAATGTGAATTCTGTTGTAAGTTCCACAGTCCTTGTGCATGCGATATATCTGTGTCCTGATATATTTCAGCTGCTACAGCCTACATGCACTAGTGCACCAAAGTGTGGATCATTTCCCCTGTTTGTTCTATTCATATTGGTTTAGAATTATCTCTAAAGTTTCAACTTAGAATGAGACTATTTCATCTGACATTTAAACAAAATAGGATGAAGTTGATATTGACTAATGATACTTTGGGTAATTATAACCTGTAGTTCTGTATTTACATCTTTGACAGAAACATAAATTTTACATCTTTTGTGTGTCTGGCACCAAGCATGAAGCATAGCAGACCTGTTACTGTGTATAAGAAACCTCTACAAATAGTTAAAGTAAGGAACTTTATCTTTTTTAAGCTTAACCATCTTTGTGAATCTGTGTGTAGTCCCCTGGCAAATGAAATATAAAAAAAAGCCCTATGACGAGTTCTCCTTTCTTTTCATGAAATAAAGTGCATCCCATTCTTTCCGGAGCAATGTTGAAAAAGATAAAGAAAAAAAAAAGAAAACGTGTCACACTTTCTAGCTAGCTCAACACGTTAAGAGATGGAAGAGAATTTGTAGGCCTTAAATGCTGATTTCTGATTACATGTACTAGTCAGTATTTCATGTCAGCTTGTTAATTTTGCTGCCAACCTCTTGTTTAAACATCCTTTCACTTCTTTACTTCTTCTCATGTACTTGCTTTATATTCATAGCTATCTAATTTCATGTTCGTTGATTGTATAATTAATTGTGAATTATTAACATAATGCAAAATTATTTCATTTTATACGTGTTAATCCTTATTTATTTATTATTTATTTTGCAGATGCATTATGTTGGGTTTGTTGACACAGAAGACATGAATGTTGTTTCTGGTAGAAGAAAATTTACCAGCTTAGTGGGATACGCAAGCAGCAAGCTTGCACAGGTGACTCAGAAGTTTTGATCCAGCCCTTCTCAAATAGTTTGATGACCTAGAGAATTTCCTTGCATTTTAACGTGCCTGCTTACATTTTCAGGCATCATTTTTTTTTTAAAACATTTTATCTGATCTCCAAGCAATATCACCTAATAAAAGTTAATTTTCTTATGCTCAAGGTTGCACTTGTACACATATTGGAAAGTAATTTTAGATCTGTTATTCTCCGTTTATGAGATAATAAGTAATACTTAAGTGATCGTGAGGTTTTGTTGCAGGTTATGTTTACTAGTGTTCTCTTTAAGCGACTGCCTGCTGAATCTGGTATTAATGTTCTTTGTGTATCACCTGGAATTGTCCACACAAATGTCGTAAGTATCTTGACATAATGTGGTTTTATAATGCTGGGTTTCAGAATTAAGTGACTCTCCTTGGTTTTCTGTTTTCGACGTAAACAGATATTGTACCAATTATTTGAATTTCAATTGTAGGCAAGGGATCTTCCCAAAGCTGTTCAAGCTGCTTATCATTTAATACCCTATTTTATTTTCAGTCCTCAAGAAGGTAAGTCTTCTTAAAAGCTGGCAAATTTGTTTCAAAATCTTATATATCTCCAAGCATGATCATCTCCAACTTTTTAACAAGTTTATGTTAGCAAGCATCTGTAAGGAAATACTTTAGTTAAAGTCTTAATACTATTGGTTGATAGAGTTCTTAGGTTTTCTACAACTATGATACAGAATAGATCTAAAATAAAATAGAAAACATTAGGACATTCACAATTGAGAGTTGTCCTAATAAAAGGAGTTAGTTCTCTACGAACTTATTCCTTTCCTTGTTTTAGTTATTGTCGATTAAGCATTTATCTTTATTCTTTACCTAACTGACTGCCAACTGTTCTAAATATGGATTCTTGTGGAGCAAAACTACACACAAACATAAACATGACCCTCTATTCACTAAGAGATTGGTGGTCTTTATTTTGATAGTGTTAATGTGTTTGGTCTAATATAACAGTTCAAGATTTCTCATTATTTGGGTATCTTTGATTTATACATTAGGTTTACATGGTGAAATATATTTAATATTTTCTAGTCTTGTTTTTCCTGCCCTCATTACATCATCCTTTGTTTTACCTCGTCATATAACAGTATTGGGTGTATAATCTATTCCAATTTCCAAGGGCAGTCTGCATTATATTTTCATAGATTCCTGCATAGAATTTCGCCCTTCTCCTTGAGGTGTGACTTCAGTGGTCAATGTAACAGCCGCTTCACGAAGCTAAAAAGTCATTGCACCTAGGCCATCTAATTTTGCTGTTATTACGGGAAGCCTTTTGGCTTAATAATTTTGTACATAACTTTTAAGGTATATTGGGAATTAAAAAATGAATCAACCCAGATAAAATTGGGCATAGTTAAAGGCCTCTTTGGGAACAGGGAACAGGCGGTGGATATGGTGAGCGATATTCAGAGCTTCCTGTGTCTTTCAAACAATACAACTTTAACATTTCATTGGAAGAAAAGAAAAGAAAAAAAAAAAGGAACAAACCAACAAACATAAGTTTGGCTTTAGGTGTTTTCACAACCCGCTATCTGTTTGATATTGTTATAGGAAGAAACAAAAAAAGAAGCTAAAGTTGTAATTCACCTCTAATTCAGGTTCCAGAAGCACACTCTTTGCAGCCACTGATTCTCAGGTTCCAGAGTACTGCGAACTTTTGAAAGCTGATGATTGGCCCGCTTGTCCTTTCATATCTCAAGATTGCCGTCCCGCAAGTCCTTCGGAAGAAGCGCACAACATTGAAACTTCTCACAAAGTGTGGGAAAAGACACTAGAGTTGATTGGTCTTCCTCCAGATGCTGTCGAGAGACTCATAGAAGGAGAAGACGTTAACTGCAGATATGGAGCTAACCAGGAGTAACTTTCCTTACCAATTCTCACCCCATGAGGTGCAAATCTTTCCAAAGAGTACTAATTGCTTCATGTAGATTATGTATCAAATGAAGCTGCTTTATAGTTTGAGTGAAGAGTTTTGGTCATTAATTTTCGCGCGGGCAAAATAAAGCGCCGTAATCTTCCCGGCGAATTTTAACAAGACACCATTTTGCTCTGAACATGACTTGTGATCTTGCATCTCCGGATGCCCTTCTATCTTTGTCACGACCAAATTTACTAGTTCAGGAACTCAAAGAAACCCTATAGGACTACTGGGAAATGAATGACTTGTCTCTAGCAGTTGCGATAGAATTGCAATGCGGGTTATTTGGCCACTAAACAAACCACATTAGTATGTAATCTGAGCTTGAATTTTTTTCAGTAGCATGCATAAGAACCCCTTTATTTTTCTCTAATTAGCTATTTCTTCTAGTTTTTGTTGTTGGAACCTTGTCTAGTAATCTGAAATTTCATTTTGCGAAGTATTTGCTTGCGTTGGTAGAGTCATTTTTCTCTCCATTCGGTTGGTTCAAACAAATATAATTAATGGAAATGTATTGTTTGCTAATTAATGGAAATGTATTGATCCTCAACATAATCAAATTGGAATAATTGTCTTTTTGGCCAATAGCACCTTCAAAATGAAATAGTTTTAGTGATTTGCTTTTACTAATTAAATTTAAACCTTTGTAAGTGACAGCAGAACTCTAGTTATCCTTGACTTCATTAACAAGAAAGATTGTTGATTTTTTTAAGGCATCACATTTGGTGAGGGTCTTATGTGAGTTATATACAAGTATAACTTGTATTTATTGACTAAAACTACCCTCAAAAAAGAAAAAAAAAAAATTTTCTAGAGGCTAATAACATGTTTTTATGATTTTTCTTATTTTGAGATTTTGCATACACGATTCTTATATTTTTCTGGGCATGCCAGCAAAAAAAAGGCCTAAAAAATGACCAAAAAAAAGTAAAACGTTGTCAAAAGGCCCCCGGCTCGCGTAGTGGGGCGCCTAGGGGCCGGGATGGGTCAAAAATTTACATTTTTATTTATGTTTTACATTCTAAAATTAATATACGATTTTTAAAAATTAATGCAACAAGCGGCACCATTTTTTGATGAATATTCTATTTTTTATGATTTTCTATATTTTTCATCTTTGAAAAATAAAATAAAAATAAAAATAAATAAAAAGGACGTCAAAAAATTATGAAATTTTACAAACACGATCCTTACACTTTTCTAGGCATGCTGCAAAAATGGCCTAAAAAAATGACAAAAAAGTAAAACGCTATCAAAAAGCCCCCGACCAGTGTAGTAGGCCACCCAGGGGCCGGGATGGGTCAAAAATTTACATTTTTATTTATGTTTTGCATTCTAAAATTAATATACGATTTTTAAAAATTAATGCAACAAGCGGCACCATTTTTTGATGAATATTCTATTTTTTTATGATTTTCTTTATTTTTTGACTTTTAAAAATAAAAAATAATAAAAAATGACACCAAAAAATTATGAAATTTTGTAGACATGATCCTTACATTTTTTGGGCATGCCCGCAAAAAATGGCATCAAAAAATCACAAAAAAAGTAAAACACTGTCAAAAAGCTCTTGGCTCGCGTAGTAGGGCTCCCACAGGCCGAGATGAGTCAAAAATTTACATTTTTATTTAAGTTTTCATTATAAAATTAATACATGATTTTTAGGAATTAATGCAACAAGCGGCACCATTTTTTGATGAATATTCTATTTTTTATGATTTTCTTTATTTTTCATTTTTGAAAAATAAAGTAAAATAAAAATACCGCCAAAAAATTATGAAATTTTCCATACACGATCCTTACAATTTTTTGGGCAGGCTTGCAAAAAAATGGCCTCAAAAAATGACAAAAAAGGTAAAACGTTGTCAAAAAGCGCCTGCGCCGCGTAGTGAGCCGCCCAGTGGCCGTGCTGGGTCAAAAATTTACATTTTTATTTCTGTTCTTGCATTCTAAAAGTAATATATGATTTTTAGGAATTAGTGCAACAAGCCAAACCATTTTTTGATGAATATTCTATTTTTTATGATTTTCTTTATTTTTCTTCTTTGAAAAGTAAAATAAAATAAAAATGACGTCAAAGAATTATGAAATTTTCCCAACACGATCGTTACATTTTTCCGGGCAGGCTTACAAAAAATGGCCTAAAAAAATGATAAAAAAAAGTAAAACGCTGCCAAAAAAAGCCCGACCCGCATAGTGGGACGCCCAGGGGCCAGGATAGGTAAGAAATTTACATTTTTATTTATGTTTTGCATTCTAAAATTAATATACGATCTTTTGGGATTAACGCAACAAGCGGCACTATATTTTGATGAATATTCTATTTTTTATGATTTTCTTTATTTGTCATCCTTGAAAAAATAAAATAAAATAAAAACGACGTCAAAAAAGTATGAAATTTATAGACACGATGCTTACATTTTTCTGGGCATGTCCACAAAAATTTGCCTCAAAAAATGACAAAAAAAAGTAAAACATGGTCAAAAAGCACCCGGCCCACGTAGTGGGGCTCCCAAGGGCCAGGATTGGTCAAAAATTTATATTTTTATTTATGTTTTACATACTAAAATTAATATACGATTGTTAGGAATTAATGCAACAAGTGGCACAATTGTTTGATGAATATTCTATTTTTTATGATTTTTTTATTTTTCATATTTTTAAAATAAAATAAAATAAAATAAAAACGACGTCAAAAAATTCTGAGATTTTGCAGACACGATCCTTACATTTTTTTGGGCATGCTTGCAAAAAATGGCTTCAAAACCTGACAAAAAAAAGTAAAACGGTGTCAAGCCCTCGACCTGCGTAGTGGGGCTCCCAAGGGCCGGGATGGGTAAAAAATTTATATTTTTATTTAAGTTTTACATTCTAAAATTAATATACGATTTTTAGGAATGAATGCAACAAGCGGCACAATTTTTTCATGAATATTCTATTTTTTGTGATTTTCTTTCTTTTTCTTCTTTAAAAAATAAAAAAAAAAACGACATCAAAAAATTATGAAATTTTCCAGACATGATCCTTACATTTTTCTTTGCAGGCATGCAAAAAATAGCCAAAAAAATGACAAAAAAAAGTAAAACACTGTCAAAAAGCACCCGGCCTGTGTAGTAGGGCGCCCAGGGGCTGAGATGGGTAAAAAATTTACATTTTTATTTCTATTTTTACATGCTATAATTAATATACGAGTTTTAGGAATTAATGCAACAAGCGAAACCATTTTTTGTTCAATATTATATTTTTTATGGGTTTCTTTATTTTTCTTCTTTGAAAAATGAAATAAAATAAAAATGACGTCAAAAAATAGGATCCTTACATTTTTCTGGGTAGGCCAGCAAAAAATGGCCTCAAAAAATGACAAAAAAGTAAAACACTACCAAAAAGCCCCCGGCCCGGGTAATGCGGCGCCCAGTGGCCGAGATGAGTCAAAAATTTACATTTTGATTTATGTTATGCATTCGAACCATAACTATGATTTTTAAGAATTAATACTACAAGCAGAACCATTTTTTTTTTTATGAATATTCAAATCTTTATGATTTTCTTGAAAAATAAAATAAAATGAAAACGATGACAAAAAACTATTAAATTTTGCATACACAATCCTTACATTTTTCTAGGCACGCCCGAAAAAATTTGCCTCAAAAAATGACAACAAAAGTAAAACGCTGTCAAAAAGCCCCCGGCTCGTGTAGTGGGGCGCTCAGGGGCCGGGATGGATCAAAAATTTACATTTTTATTTATGTTTTACATTTAAAAATTAATATACGATTTTTAGAAATTAATACCACAAGCGGCACCATTTTTTGATGAATATTCTATTTTTTATGATTTTCTATATTTTTCATCTTCGAAAAATAAAATAAAATAAAAAGGACGTGAAAAAATTATGAAATTTTACAAACACAATCCTTACACTTTTCTGGGCATGCTACAAAAATGGCCTCAAAAAATGACAAAAAAGTAAAACTCTACCAAAAAGCCCCCTACCTGTGTAGTGGGGCGCCCAGGGGCCGGGATGGGTCAACAATGTACTTTTTTATTCATGTTTTACATTCCAAAATTAATATATGATTTTTAGGAATTAATACGATAAGCGGCACTATTTTTTGATGAATATTCTATTTTTATGATTTTCTTTATTTTTTGACTCATAAAAATAAAAAAATAAAAAACGACACCAAAAAATTATGAAATTTTGCAGACATGATTCTTACATTTTTTTGGGCATGCCCGCAAAAAATGGCATAAAAAAATCACAAAAAAAGTAAAACGCTATCACAAAGCTCCTGGCGCGCGTAGTGGGGCACCGACGGGCCGAGATGGGTTAAAAATTTTCATTTTTATTTAAGTTTTGCATTCTAAAATTAATACATGATTTTTATGAATTAATGCAACTAGCAACAGTATATTTTGATGAATATTCTTTTTTTTATGATTTTTTTTATTTTTCATTTTTGAAAAATAAAACAAAATAAATACGACGTCAAAAAATTTTGAAATTTTACAGACACGATCCTTAAATTTTGTTTGGGTATGCCTGCAAAAAATAACCTAAAAACCTAATAAAGAAAAGTAAAACGCGGTCAAAAAGCCCTCGCCCTGCATAGTGGGGTGCCCAGGGGCTTGGATGGGTCAAAAATTTACATTTTTATTTTTGTTTTTGCATTCTAAAATTAATATACGATTTTTAGGAATTACTGCAACAAGTGAAACAATTTTTTGTTGAATATTATATTTTTTATGATTTTCTTTATTTTTCTTCTTTGAAAAATAAAGTAAAATAAATACGACGTAAAAATGTTATGAAATTTTCCTGACACGATCCTTACATTTTCTTCGTAGGCCTGCAAAAAATGGCCTAAAAAATGACCAAAAAAAAAAGGAAAACGTTGTCAAAAAGTGCCCGGCCAGCCTAGTGGGGCACCCAGGCGCCAAGATGGGGCAAAAAATTTCATTTTTTTTTCTAGTTTTGCATTCTAAAATTAATATAAGATTTTTAGGAATTAATGCAACAAGTGAAACCATATTTTGTTGAATATTATATTTTTTATGCTTTTCTTTATTTTTCATCTTTTAAAAATAAAATAAATTAAAAACGACGTCAAAAAATTATGCGATTTTGCAGACACAATCCTTACATTTTTCCAGGCATGCCTGTAAAAATGGCCTAAAAAACAAACAAAAAAAGTAAAACGTTGTCAAAAAGCCCCCGGCCCGCGTAGTGGGGTTCCCAGGGGCCGAGATGGTTAAAAAATATACATTCTTATTTATGTTTTGCATTCCAAAAATAATATACGATTTTTAGGAATTAATGCAACATGCGGCACCATTTTTTTTAATATTCTAT